AAACTACATAATAATTCACAATCTTTAATTAGGGGTCTAACATGGCATAAAATAATATCATAATCCCACAGCATCCAGTAGAACACAGAGATGCACATGACAATCACGCCCAGTGTTTTAAAGCCATTTTCTACACCAATTTTTATTTATGATTAATTATTTTGATTTGCTGTGCTGCAAGGAGAAAAATGAAAAAATAGATGTTAAATATCAGTTAGCAAACTTAAATTTGTTCTCATTTTGCTGTTACAGAAGGATGTGGAAATATTGAAGAGTATAGCTACTGCTCAGCCTGCTCCTAAGTTTGGTAACACATTTATTATTCAAGCAAACTCTTCGGTTAATCTGCAGCTCAACAGAAACGCCACAGCCAGCAGTGCCGTGTCTCAGGTCAATGACCGGCTTCCACAAACCACAGCTGGGGGCTCCTCTACTCTTTCGAAATCACTAAAGATTATATAACGAGAGTAACCCATTAAACGCACAAATACTGCTGCTTCTGCTGTCGAGCTGCAAAACCAACAGAAACCTGCAGAGATGTCCGCATGTGAGTTTGAATCTCTGGAGAAATCTCTGGAGTCCCATCTGCCAGCGGCCGAGTTGGTGGAGGTGAAACGCATCTTATTTGGGAAGGAGACAAAGTGAGTTGTTGTACTTATACTGCATTTCTTTTAAATTTACTAAAGGAAGTATCGGGCTTTCCCGTTTCTCTTTCTTTATGTTTCCTTCTCTGTTGTTTTGGTTCCTGGTAAATTATTATTCTGCTCAGTGGACTTTGATCAAGCTGAAGGATAACTTACAGCCAGCACAGAGACAGGTTTGATAAATGTATAGACTAAAAAACCCTACAAACAGTTAGATCCATAAATATTTGGACAGAGACAACTTTTTTCTAATTTTGGTTCGGTAAATTACCCACATGAAACAACTCAGACTTTCAGCTTTAATTCACTGGGTTGAATAAAACAATTGCATAAAAATGTGAGGAAGTAAAGCATTTTTTAACACAAGCCCTTCATTTCAGGGGCTCAAACGTAACTGGACAAATTCAATAATTGAAAATAAAATGCTCATTTCTAATACTTGGTTGAAAACCTCTTGATGGCAATGATGGCCTTAATTTACGCTTTTTTTTAGTACCCTTTAGATCAGGGGTGTCCAACTCCAATCCTCGAGAGCTACTGTCCTGCAGCTTTTAGACGCATCCTTGTTCTGACACATCTGAATCAACTGAATGACTTGTTATCAGGCCTTTGCCAAACTTGATGGCATGCTGAAGAGGTAATCCAACCATTTGATTCAGCTGTTTTGCAGTAGGGATGCATCTAAAAGCTGCAGGACAGCAGTGTTGTTCACTTGGTTGGCTGTTGTGAAGGGGTTTCTCATCACCATAAAAATGAATCTGCGATCATCCACCGCTGTTGTCTTCCATGGGTGTGCGATGTTTTTGCATTGATGAGTTTACTGGCGCTTTCTTTCTTTCTCAGGATGGACCAAACTGTAGCTTTTGCCTCTCCTCATACTGTCGCAATTTCTCTGATGTTTTTTTTTCCTGTTTTCACAGCTTAAGGTTGGCTTGTTTCATTTGCATGGAGAGCTACTTTGTCCACGTGTCTGTTCACAGCAAAATTTTCCAAATGCAAGCACCACACCTCAAATCAACTCCTGGCCTTTTATCTGCTTTATTGATAATGATGTAGCCTTTGAGCCAAAAAAGGGTGGCACATGTTAAGGAGCTGAAACTCCTAAACCCTCCATTCAATTTATATCTGGCTACCCTAAAAATGAAAGCAGTGAGTCTAGACATTATGCCCATGTCCATTATATAATATATATAACTATATATAACTATAAAAGTAAGATTTTTCAGTAAATGGGTAAAAAACAAAACTTGTGTCAGTGTCCAAATATATATGAACTTAACTGTATGTGGAGTTTCTGTGTCCAAGCAGGCCATGCAACTCTACAGTGTAAGTATGCTGATCTCTTCATCTTCTCTGCATTTGAAGACTTTATTGTGCATTTACAACATTAAATACTAAAAAACTAAACATGCGCATCAATAACTCCGAGTCTTCTTTTTCAGATCATCTAAAAGTATCATGTCATTTACATAAGAAGTACCTGATTTTTCACTAGTCTCCCTGTCACTGCCACTGAGAAACACCTAAAACGAGTCCAGACAGTTCAGTTTGTGATCTTGTCAGGCCAGAGAAGCACTCCCACTTGCTCTCACAGTCCTCTCAAGCCTCTCTACCATGAATGCCTACTTGCTCAAGTGCCTGAAAAGATGGTTGCCCACATCTCTGCAGGGGACTTCAGGAGCTCTGTCATTGTGATCAAGGAGTTCTTGAAAAGCTGTCGCCAGCTAACATACCTTTTCTTTCTCTGAATAAAAATACTTGATAATAATGTATTTATTCATTTATTTTGTTTCAAAGATTTATTTAATTTCTTGACCTGAAACACAAAAAGAACAATGCTTTATTTTCTGAACACTGTCTTACAGGAAGCTGGACCTCTCAGCCTGTGCTGTGGAAGCTGCTTCTGAGCGAGACTTTGAGCTTAAAGGATATAAGTTTGATGCGGCACAGGAACAACTCAGGCCGCCCAGAAACATCCGAGTGGGACTCATTCAGCACCACATTGTTCTGCCCACTGATGCCCCCATCCTGGATCAGGTTACTAGTCACACACTACAGTACTAACCAGAAGACCACATGTACCAAACCTGTTGAGGTACATTAGCAGAGAGATACAGACAGGAAGCTGTAAGGTGTTTGACTGAATGACTTTCTGTAAAACTCTTCATGTACATCATTGTTCAAGAGAAGTATTCAACATGTATCTGCTTAAATAATTTACCTGACCAAAAGAATAATACTGCTCCATTTCATTGGTAGAAGTGACTGGTGTTAATATTCTATCACTGCTCTCCCTTTACAGATCAGTGCCATGCACAGCCGAATTGGTGAAATGGTTGAGGTAGCAGCCATGTGTGGTGTAAACATTGTCTGCTTTCAGGAGACCTGGAGTGAGTGTCCATGTGCAAGAATTATAAACCTATCCAACAAACATTAAGGTACCAACAGAGACTGGGGTTTTTGTTTCTTTCGTTATCAGCCATGCCCTTTGCGTTCTGCACCCGTGAGAAAGAACCATGGACAGAGTTTGCAGAGTCTGCTGAAGAAGGAAACACCACACGCTTCTGCCAAGAGGTGAGACTGTAGAGCTTTGCTGCAGCGCGGTTAATACGTTGGGGACTGCAAACCTAACAGTTCTGCAATTCTACAATTAGCTGGCCAAAAAGTACAACATGGTCATAGTTTCACCGATTCTGGAGAGAGAGGAGTTACATGGCACCCTGTGGAACACGGCGGTGGTCATCTCCAACTCTGGAAACGTGCTGGGAAAGAGCAGGAAGAACCACATTCCCAGGATCGGGGACTTTAATGAGGTGAGTGGGTGATCTAAACGATCCACTGTGGCTGTGCAGGAACTGAAAAACTGCTGTTGTCATTGTCTCGTGTTTTCTACTCAGTCTACTTATTACATGGAGGGCAACACTGGCCACACAGTGTTCCAGACACAGTTTGGGAAGATTGCTGTGAATATTTGCTACGGCCGTCATCATCCACTCAATTGGTTCATGTACAGCATGAATGGAGCTGAGATCATCTTCAACCCCTCGGCTACCGTTGGAGCTCTGAGGTAAGGGAACAAGGCACATGGTACCAGTGGTAAGCTAAGAAAATGCAAAATAATAGTG